AGCTCCCGAAGGGCGAGGGGACGAGGATCCTGGGCTGCGAGCCCTTAACCTATATACTACTAGAGACAAAGCAGATGTAAAGCGGCGAGGGGGTGGCACGAGTTACGCTGTCATAGACCCTGGACAATAATCATTGTCCAAAACACATCTACGCGGGCTCGGGAATTTGAAATAGGGGGGAGGTAGGACCTCTGCCCCAGACGTCTGGGTGACCGCGGTGGTGGGGTGCGGGTGTAACACCCATACGTCTGGGTACGAGACCAGTGTGATAGTGGCGCACTTATGCGGTGCAGTGGTAACGATGGTTGTTCTTGTTTTTCCGTGCGAGAGTTCGAATCCCGAGCAGGCTCGTTGGGGTTCGGGTTGGGAGTTAGGGTTTGGGTTTGGGTTAGCGGTTAGGGTTGGCCACTTGTCTTTCTTCTGACCCCCACAAGGGGTCGCCGGTCTGTTTTTTTTTTTCGCGCAAACGACGCTTTAGTGTGCCCGCCTGAGTGCTCCCGGCTCGGGGGACCCCCCGAGCGCAGCGAGGGAGGGGAGGGAGCACGAATGGCGGGTCCTCTTCGCGCAGCGCTGGATGTTCTTGAGCTAAGCGCCTTACATAGAATTTTTCTACCTAATATGGGCTTGCGTCGCATCGCGCTGGGGGGATTGCATTCACTCGTTGCTCGATGGGCGCTTCACCGGCCGCAGTTCCTGATCTCCCCGCCAACGCGCCACAAGAACTCGGAGACGACCACGACCACCTTGGAGATGCCCAGCATGAGGTTAGCGTTGATATATCCCTACTGGCGATGCATGGCTCACTTCTATCGTTCATGACCAGGTTCAAATCAGATACACAAAAGCTCGGGGTACGTCATGGTTCCTGTGTCACTCTCACCGGACGCTGATACTTCCAGGGACAAGTCGCTCGGTCATCCACCATATCTCAAGCGGCTTGCCAGCATTCATGACCTCCCCAACGAGCTACTTTCTGAGATCTTTGCGCTGGCGGCCAGCCAACCTTTTGACACTCAATTTTGGGGCCCCGAGTCTTCCGAGGTCTCTCTCATTGTCGTGGACAACCTTGTACCAATCTCTGCAACATGTCGCGCTTGGCGAACGTTGGTTTCGGAGACGCCATTCCTTTGGTCTTCCTTCTTCCTCGACGAGAACTGGAATGAGAATGAAGGCGCTCTCGTTCTGCAACGCTCCCGCGACGTACCAGCGACGCTCTACTATTCCGGGGGCATCCAAGAGAAGCTTTGTTACTTCCTCGGAGTTCTTCGCCACCGACTCCGGGAACTCTACATATTAGACGAAACCCTGGAGTGGGATTCTGTGGCGTCCATGCTCTCCACGGATTTTCCGATGTTGTCTGCGTGTACTCTTCACCTCGGTGATCGTGTAGACGAAACGAGACCTTCGCGGAATACCTACCTTTCTGGATCACTGCAGAGACTGTGTTGTCTCCGTCTGTCTTGTCCTGTCATTCTTCCTTCCGGCCATATCCCTCACCTCACGAACCTCCAGGTGGATGGAGGCGGACCCCACACCCTCTCGAGTGTCTTTGCTCTTCTCTCAGCAGCACCTCAACTCGAATATCTGTGGCTCGTTTTGAGCGTGGAGCGGGACAGGGACCAATACGCAGGCATAATGGTTCGTCTTCCACATCTCAAGAGATGTTCTCTCAACATGGAACCCTACGACGACTTCCTGTCTGGACTCACCCTCCCACCGAATTGCCTGGTCCTTTTCAAAGACCTCCTAGACTTCGAGCTGGGTTTGGAGTCCGAGGAACTCCCGCTGATACCCACTCTGGTCGCAGCGCTACCCAGGCATCCTTTCACGCAGTGTCTCTCCCGGCTGCGCATCGTACCCGACAACGTGGGGTTCGGTAGCACTCCCGACCCCGAGTATGCATACCACGTACAGCTAGCCAACGAGACCAGCACGAGCGGTCTCCACTTCCAGATCCTTCGCGGCGATCTTAGCGGCCCCATTCTCCAACCCGTAGAACGGGGCAAGATGTCGCGCACCATGGCCGAAGAGATCTTCTCTGCGTATCCCAGCGGCTCCCTCGTAGCTAACGTGAAGGAGCTCTGGGTTTACAAGTGGACCGATTGGCTCACCGCGGACGTACTCGCACGACTTCCTCTGCTGGAGACCCTGGTGCTCGTGCTCGACGGAGATCCATGGAATACGAAGTGGAACGATGACCCGCCTACGACAATCCCCAAAGCCCTGACCAAGCAGCCGAAGGCGGGTCAGGCGCCGCTTTGCCCTGCCTTGACGAATCTGTGTCTCGTCATGTGCTACGATCACGCCGTTCAGGAGACGAAGAGGTTCGTCAAGGCTCGCAAGCGAGCTGGGCACCCTATCAAACGACTTGCACTCGAATGTGTCAACGCCTATGCCCTAGAATACGCTACCAACGGCAAGCTCGCGAAGTTGGTGGACGAGCTCGTGGTTTCGTCTACGGGGGACAATTATAAGTATTGGGCACCACATACATTCGAAGAAGGGTGGGCTAGGGGACTGGGGGGCTGGCCAGAGTGGCCGGATTGGCTTGAATGGCGTAAACTGGACTCGGACATTATGCAAGGCCTGGTTGAAATTGAAGATGAATAGGGATATGTGTCCTTGCATGCGCTCCACTACGTACAAGAGGCACAGCAGAGTCGGCGTAGTGATACTCGTGCTACTGTTGAATAGTGAAGTCCCTCTTGGGGCGCATGACCGGAAGCTGGCCCATCGGGGCCAGGAACGCCGAAGAAGTGCTCTCTGAGGCTCCAATTCTAACCAGCGAGTTTTGCACGTCAGCGACGGCACCTAGCCTGTGTACCCCTGTTCCAATTGAATACGACACGAAGGTTAGATCAAACCGTATCATAGAATGGAGTTCGTCTTTGGCCAGTGCTAACAATAGCACGAGCCCGTATAACGCAAAGTCTCGGAATATCTGTGCGTTGCGATGTCTGTTGACCCTGAAAAGATGACATCAGCTCCTCAGTGCCCGGTCTCTGGAGTGTTATGAAGATGTGCTGGAGCAGTGATGGGGTCAGAAAGAGGCCTCGTGTAAGACGAAACCAGGAGGCGGTGACTGGGAGCGGTGAGAGTGAACAGATGGTGATGGGAGGATCAGGACGCCACCGGATGTGTTTGTCCGTGTTTGTTTTGTGAGCAGGTGCCAGCATAAGGTGTTGGACACCCTTCCCGACCTCCTTTCCCATCGTCCTCATCGTCTTCGACGTCCTCCTCGTCTCTTTGTCGCCGTCGCGAGCACTCTTTCACAGACTTTGTCATTCCCTAGACCGGCAGGCTCCGCTGGTCTTGTCTAGACATCGTTGCACGCACCCCGGAACGTGTTGCTTGATTCTAGCCAACCCCGACTCGACGTCGACTTGCAGTCCTTAGCTTTTCAGCCTTTCAACAAAACATGTCTAGTCTCGCTCCCCCCAGCCCTAGTGTGTCCCCCGCTCCCGGCGGAAACCCCGGCGGCAGGTCTCCCAACTTCCGCGCATCCATGGGACCTACCTCCGCCAGGCCTGTCGGCGCACAGGGCGGTCTTTCTCCCGCTTCTCCTCGCCCGGGTGCGACCAACGGTGGTGCGCGCCCCACAAGCGAGCTTTTGGGCGGCGCGGGCATGTTCCAGACCCCGGAAGGTGAGCAATCAGTATTTTCCGGTCTACTCGGCACCGAGCACAGCATCAGAATGGGCGGGTCTGTTCACCGACGATGCCCTCGTGGGGCCGCTAGAGATAATGGCGAGGACAGTTTGGCGAACGGCCTTTTTGTTAGACTGCCATCCGTGTTGTTATGAGAGCGTATTCCATACAGCTCTGCGTGCGATGACGAATGGGGACCCAATGCCTTCTGAGCTGTCGTGGGTTTCGCAGGATTTGGTGCCGCATGTTTCATGATCTGAGTCCTCATACTTTCAATTCACAGCCGAAGCAATCGACCAGTGGTTCGAGACTTTCCAGAACTACGAGGTGACGCTGGTGAGTACCTTCAATTGCCCGTTGCGTCCTCAGTCCTCACTCCCAACCACCAAAACGTTTCCATATGTAGGAAGAAATGGCTGCTGCCTCTCTTGACGTCAATTTCAAGGAGGAACTGAGTGCCATCGAGCAATGTGAGTTATTCTCATCATATGTCGCTCTCGTACGGTCCGAATATGACCTTCTCTCTCGAACTCCAACATTTCATGGGAAGACTGATGCTGACTCCTGTGATCAGGGTTCAAGGTTCTTTCCGAAGCCGAGCGCACAGCCGCTCTTTACAGTCTTTTGCAACATTCTACGCAAGTTCAGATCCGATTCTTCATCACCGTCCTGCAGCAAATGGCCCGGTCCGACCCCATGACCGCTCTCCTCTCCCCCGCCGTCGGTGGCTCAATGCAGAGCCAGATGGAGGCAAAGCTCGCGAGCATGAGTCTTAAGTCTCCTGGGTTGAAGTCTAACTTACCGGGGTCGCCGACAACACGCAACTTCTCCGGTTCGGGCATCGGCGGCGGTAACTCTTTCCTCTCTCCCGAGTCCGCCAACAACGCTAGCGAGGCTGCAGCTACGCTTGCCCAGCAGCGTGCGAAGCTCAAGGCGAGCAACGCAGCCCACCGTATCTCCGCACCTGTGCTCTCATCTGTTGGGGGCGATCGCAACACCTGGGGTTCAGGTTCCAACCAGCTCGGACAGGTTGATGAGCGCTCATCGTCCCCGGCGCAGGAGATTACGATCTCGCCCAATCCCTCGTCGCGCCCGAAGAGCACCGACTTCTCTGGTCTTGCGAATGCGTTGAAGTCCCCGCGAGGCGATGAAGGCGATCAGCTTTCTCCCATGCCGGGTGGTAGTTGGGCGAGCATGGTCAACACCCCGCTCATTCCAATTTTCAAGGACACACGCAACCCTAGTCAGAGCCTCGACGCCGCTGCCCAGAAGCTGAACGATTGGACCGCCGGAGGAGGCGGTGCTGTCCCGCTCATCTCGGACCCGCCAAAGAAGTACACCCGGCCCTCGAAGGGTGCGCAGAACACCGACAGCGATGACAATCACGGTCAGAATGGCTCCGGGCAGCGTAACTTCTCCGGCGGTCTGCGCAACGTTAGTGGCAACGGCGGTTTCAACGGGTTTGGTGGCCAGGCGGGCTGGGCTGGCGCACGCAGCCCCGCTCTTTCGAACGCATCCGGCCGGTTCAGTGACGACGGCAGCATGAACGGTCTTGGCATGGCTGGGTTCGGTGCGATGGGCATGGCCAACCCGGCCCTTGCGGGTCTCCCTGGCACCGGCGGGTTCAACATGGCTGCGCTTGCCGCGGCGGGCATGGCGCCCGTTAGCCCGTTCAACAGCATGTTCAACGTGTCGAACCTCGCAGCGATGGGCGTGACGCCGGAGCAGATGTTGGCGATGCAGATGGCGGCGGCGGGCCAGCTTGGTCAGCTCGGCCAGCCGGGCCTGAATGCGTTTGGGATGGGCATGGGGAATAACGCGAACATGCGCGGGAACCGGGGGTTAGGGAATCGCGGGGGGAACAACAAGTCGCCCAGCCAGCGCGGGGAGAAGAAGGACGATGAGGACGTCGACCCGAAGCTGCTCGAGGACATTCCTGCGTGGCTGCGGAGCCTGCGGCTGCACAAGTACACGCCCAACTTCGAGGGCGTAAATTGGCGCGACATGGTGATGATGGACGAGGCCCAGCTTGAGGCGAAGGGCGTCGCGGCCCTGGGGGCGCGAAGGAAGATGCTCAAGACGTTCGAAATCGTGCGCAAGAAGATGGGCATCGAGGAACCGGCCGGCGCCGCTGCTTCCTCTGCTTGAAAAGCATAGCTTCAAATACGTCGTGCTGCCGCTGGTGCTGTGCGCGGCTGGTGCTCGGTGTGCGCGCCCCTCGCGCTTTCGTCGATCTCTTTCCGGGGCGGAAGCGGGGTGCGTGTGTTGGGGTACTGGTGACTGTGTGCATTCGTGTAGGCGCACGTTCGGCCCAAGGGGCCATGAAAGTTTTTCTTGGATTGTCTCGTCGATTCCTCACCTACTCCTGGCTAGGGTATCCGTATCCCCCTTATACCATACCGTGTCTTCACCACCACCCTTCTTACTAGCGAATCAAGTATTACGGCGGCGGCCGAGTCAACATGTGTCATTCAGGATCCGAGTGTATGCCTAGCTGTAATCTGACATGTAAATAGGACTACATCCTCTATTTATATTCCCTTCCTCTCAACGACGGTTGTGTCATATGCTCTGTCATGTTCTACACTCATCGACTACGTGAGGTAACGCCCAAGGTATGACTTGGAGGGATTCACGAGCAGACCGATTGTTGCAATATAGCTTCTACCAACCGTTCTCTGAATCCGATTCCTCGCTCAAATCATTCGCGAAGGCCCTGTCCTGTCGACGCCATTCGAACCATTCAGGCCAATCAGGCCACTCGCGAAGCTGACCCTCCCACGGGTCTGTACAATCCTCCCACCATTTGACATCCTTCTTGGCCATCGTGACGAACAATTCGTGGACGTACTTGTCCAGCTTCAGCGCGCGACGGTGCGCCTTGGCGTCTTTGCACTCGATCGCGAGTCTCATGACCCGATGGCCGCCGCGCTTGCGCTGCTGCAAGATATCTCGCATGTCGTCAACAGCGTCGGCGTCGCACGTGTAGAGGCAGACGGTCGTCAGGGTGGGGCAGTGGATATATCCGTCGTAACCCCGTCCGAGCGCGGGGGGAATCGGTTCGTCGTATCTCCGCTTCCGCGAGAGGACCAGTCCGACCGTCTCGAGGGAGGGGAAGCACGCGAGCAGCGTGGGAGAGAGGAACTCTGTCCACTTGTGCAGCCAAAGCTCCTTGACGTCGGCCGCCAGGAAGACACCGCCTGGACACCAGAAGACGTCTGCGAGGTCCTCTGCGAAGTAGTCTATGTCTTCGGGGTCGCGCAGGTCGGAGGATTGGAAGATGCGCGAGACCTCGAAGTGCACCCCGCTCGCTCCCTGTTCGTCAGAGAGCTGGACGTGGTAGGTGTTGTCGGTGTCTGCGACACTGTCCCACCCCCTGTTGCCAGGGATGATGCGGAGGCGCGTGAGGTGCTGCGCGAAGGGGTGGGTGGGTAACAGGCCCACTATGGTGCGTATATGCGCGTCCATGTCCTCGGCTGACAGTACTTCGTCAAGTGCGTCCGTGAGAGTCCCAAACAAGACGAGGCACATAGGCGGGAATGTGATCCGAGGCAGTATGTCCCCGTGAATATCCCCCATGTTCAAAGCGCATCGCCGGAGATGTGGAAGGTGAACGGTTCTGTGGTGGCATTGTGGCAGATCTTGTTCGAGACGCAAGGAGAGCAGGATGATTTCGAGTTTAGGTGCGGCAGAAAGAAATGATAGAAGGCTAGAGAGTTGATGAGGACCCCCTCCGCCTGCATGGAGGTAGGTGAGGTTGGGGAATTGTCCAGTTGGGAGGAACGGTGCGCCGGAGAGATTGAAGCGACGCAAGTTGCCCAGAACCCCAGACAAGAATTCGTTCTCCAAGGGTCCTCTTGGCTCAAAACGCGAACGGGGTGCGATCTCTATCGAGACTTGCGTCAACAGACTCGTGGTCACTGGTAGTACCGGGAGAATGTGTTCCCATTCCATGCTGTAGTCGAAGATGTAAAGCTCTCGGAGCCGAGAACCAAGGTCTTTCAGCAAACGAGCTGCGGCCCGCTGCCGGCTGTCCTTCTGGATGTAAAGCTTGGTGGGTGCGTTTTGTGACAATCTCAGCTGTTGTGTGTAAGCCCTCTCATCCCAATCTGTATCGACCACGAAGTGTGACCACAGGAATGCAGCGGACAAGGCCACATCTCGCCACGCGCGACACACGGTGGTGATTCGCCTGAGGTTCTTGGGAAGCATAATAGAGGTCTCTGAGAAGTCTTCGGAGGCTAGGTTTCTCGTGTCGAAACCATCGCAAGAAGCTAGCGCAAAGATCTCCGAGAGAATCTCGCGTGGTAGGGAGTTGATAGGAGCCTCCCCATTGAGGTGGTAACGAATTTGACGGGAGGATTCGAGCAATGCGGTATCAAATGACCGCCACTAGAGCAACGTAAGACGCGATGTCAGAATCGACCGTGAGCTTGTCCAATCACCTTTTGCAGAGTCTCCGCGTCTGAGCCACTGAACATGCGTTGTAAGGATTGACCGTTAAGCCAGTGATCACAAATTCAGCCAGCGAAATGAGCTTACCTCGCTAGCCTTCCGATTTGCTGGGTATGCACGTCGTTGATGCTGGCAACCAGCTGCTGCAGCTGGCTGATTACGTTGGACATATGTTCGTCCATAGCGGACTCCAATGCTCTGTGCTTGATGCTATATGAAGTGTGGGTGGCGTTTGTAGGAAGTCAAGAGGCAGCGAGACCAAAGTGAGCTGGTTGCGGCTGAATATTTACGGTACAATGCGAGCTTGCTGCGGCCAGTTACCATAATTCGACGCGGCACTATCCTTTCTCAACAATTAAAGCAAGCACTGTGAACGACCTAAGCGGCCTATACAATATCGATCTACATCCATGCACCGAGCTCTTTGCGAGCAAGATGTAGAGGCAAAGCTCATTACTGTGAATTGCGGCGTACCTCTACTTCGCTCAAACTCGTAGCCACGTCACGACCCTTCCAATGTGTGAACGGATCTTTCTCTCCCAGTATATATGCTCAGTATTTATTTCCCAACCGGGCTTCGGTATGAACATACCGGGCGATGATTCCCGACTGCATTGTTAACTCCGAATCGTATAGCAATACATGAGGATTCGTAATATACTGGACATGAGTAGTGGAGTGCATAAAGGTAGAAACGTATGTAGAATGAGCGTGTGCAAGGTCTCGCAGTAGGAAATCTAGACATCGTGGACGGGAAATCACCACCCTCGGCAATGGCCGTCAGGGAGGACGAGTAACTGAAAAGGAGCAAAAAGCCAGACCTTGGCAATAGAAGACGGATGAACGATATACGGCGCGAAAGCGAAGCAGACAATCCACGCATATACAACCGCAGCCCGGAGAGACCGCGCGAGCGCGCAAAGATCGCTCACGCAGCGCTCACGAGCACGACCGACTCCCGCACTTCGCCCGTACGCTTCTCGATCTCGCAGAAGCGATCGAGAGCTTTCATCGCCGTCCGCTCCATCTCCTCCGCGCCGTGGACCTCCCGCCCATGCTCCTCCATCGCCGCCCGGAACCGCTCCCTGACGTCCCACCCCGCGAGCCTGAGCACCTTGCGGACCTCCCGGCTCACCCGGGTAGCGTTCGCGCCGATGAACGAGCTCTCTTCGCCCTTCTCCTCGCTCTCCTTCGCAAGGGACGCCTTGATCCTGCGCCCAACCGTCTTCGGAATGGTGCTCGGAAGCTCGAGGACGAAGTAGGTGACAAGGCCGATGGTGACGGCACCAAGGACAGGGGCCGCCCACTTGCGCGCCGTCTCGTTCTCGAAGATGTCGCAGACGCGCACGATACCTTCGACAAGGCTGCGCGCGCCAATCGCCTTGCCGCCGACCATCGTGAGTGCACCTAGGCCAACGGACGCGTAGCCAAGAGTGCTGACGGTGACTTCCTCGGTCTGCTGATCCTTGCCCTCGCCAAAGTGAATCCAGAACTGATGCTGAACGTCGAACAGATCGAAGAACGTGGTCTCCAGCATGTCAGGACGCTGAGCAAGACCAATACCGAGGCCGTACATGCCTCCGGCAACGACGGTGCGAGAAGCCTGGCGTGACTTGCGATTGCCCTTCTTGTCGGCGCGGAAGGAGAACATCGCCTCAGGCATGAAAACGCGCTTCGACCGCTCAACACCTTCCGGAAGGTGCTTATCGCCGAGCTGCGCGATCTTGTCGACAGCCTCGATAGTCACGATCCGCGCCTCCTCCTCTGCGAGCTTGACGGCTGCGTCCAGGGAAGCAAGGAGTGTGCGGCGAACTTCGCGCGCGTAGTCCCAGATGCCAAGGAGACCAGGGTATGACGGCAGGTGTACGGAAGGAGCATCCACGCCAAGCTTGCCCTGACCAATGCGCTCAACAGCATCAGTCAGGAGCTCCTTCGTGCGCGAACGCGAATGCGACGCGCCATCCTCCTCAATGGACTCCAGGCTCTCCTCAAGGGTCTCTCGGCTGCCCTTCATTTTCTCAAGCACAGGACGGACACGGTTAAGGTCGTCACGTGCACGCTCGAGTTCCTTCTGCGCGACAATCGCATTCGTACCGACGAGAAGATCGACATCAGCAAGGAGCTTGGTGAGATATGTCGAGGCAGGAGCCAGCTTGGACTTCGCACGCTTGACGAGGACGAAGGAGCGAAGGGCGGACTCGAGCTTGCCGAAAGAGGAAGTACCCTCATGAAGCGCGTGCTGTGAGTCTACGAAGTGAACAAGGTCCTCCGCGTCTTCGTACGTCCGTGGGCTGAGCTGCTTGATCTGTTCGAGGACCATGCGTTTGCACTTGGCCTTGTCCCGAATCTGTTCGTACTTGTTGACGACGATGAACAGGTAGGCCTTCTCGTTGCTGGCGTTCGTCAAAAATTCCTTCGCCGAAAGCGTGAAGTGATTCTCCGCAGACACGACGAAGACGACGATGTCAATCTCATCCTGTCGGGCAAAGACGCGAGTGGTGTGGGTGTTGTCTCGGTTGAGACCCGGAGCGTCGATGAGAGATATATCGACGACCCCGTTGCTAAGGAGCGACGCTTGCGGATCACGAGGGTCGGCGAGGTAGATCTTGAGGACCTGTGAGTCGTTCTCGTTCTCCGATACGATCGCGTCCAGATCGGAAAGGCTCGCCCGAGTAAACGTGCTTTCGTCCTGGGCGGAGTACGTTGCGCCCTCCTTCAGGATATGGACCTCCTCCTTTCCGTCGTTCTCCCTCGCGTCATGAACCTCGCAGAACGCCGTCGTGCACGGCTGCTGGTCCACAGGCATGATCTCCCGGCCGAGGAGTGCGTTGACAAAGGTAGATTTGCCAGCATTGAGATCACCCGTGACGAGGACCTTCGAAGACGTGTCTTCGATGCGCGAGCGAAGCTTGTTAAGGTGATTCACAGCGTTTACTACGCGATCGTCCAGGAGATTGGCAATGGACGACTTTTCAAGCTGCGCCACGAGTGCTGCAGGGGAGGAAGACGAGCCATGGGGGCCGAGCTTGAGGTCAAGGCGGAAGACGTTGAAGTCCGACACTTCGGCAGCTGATACAAGACGATCGCCGTCCTCCTCATACTCGGCTGCAGGATCTTCCTCCTTGTCGGCGATAGAGGCCAGAGTTACGGAGCGAGTCAAGCCTGCCTTGGCAGGGCTAACGACGACATCGGCCTGAAAGGACGGATCATCGGGGAAGGAGAGGGAACGACGCATGCCCCTGCGCTTGGTGGTAGCGGACGACTCAGCCGTGGCGGGCTGCTCCTGCAGCTGAGGGTAGCGAACGACCCAGTCGTCCTTGTTGAACTGGCGGAGATCTCCCAGGATCGACTTCGTGTTATCCAAAGCATTCAGTAATCTGCCAATCTGTTAGTACCCCTTCGAGATACCAAAATACAGCGTAGCCCATGCATCCGCGGAGCAATATGCGTTTGTATCATGATAGCAAGCGAAAGACGTAAGAAACGAAGTCCGGACTTCCAAGTGAAGACAGGGAGCTGCTGCAACAACGAACGGATGGGGGTAACATTGCACCTCTCGCGCCAACTCCCTAGCGTAGTCGAAGCGAAGCGAAGATGTACTTGACTGAGATGCGGTACCCAGGCAGGCCTCAATCCTAATGAACCTTGCAGGTTGCAAGCCATACACCGGATACTGAATGCCCTCTCGACTATTGGGAGCTGGTAGCATGCGAAATTCTTCCTCGTGACACATAGTAATGTATCACATAATCCTTCATGGTTGTGCTATTTTCTTGATACCAACATATGTAGACGACTCACCTTGACGCAGAGCATGGGCTAGCCAAACAATAACATTGTGCTCACCTATTCTTGTGCTCGAGATACGCCTCCTGGACTCCTTCGTTCAGATGTTTCGGTGAGCTCTCCACCAGAGGCTGCGGCGACCCCGCGCTGGCGCTGGCCGAAGCAGGGAAGTACGACTGAGCCATTTTGATGCAAAGAGTCTCGCAGAAACGCTGCTCTAGATGTTGCAGCAAATGCCGTTGAAGTCGTCGTCAGTGGAGAGGGTGTAGCCGAGGTGTGCTGCCGATGACCCGATCCCTGTTGTCATAACATTTCCAACTTCCCGCGCCACATATTGAGTCGGAGCAAGGATATGCTCTTGGCCGTCCCTTGAGAATCAAGACTCCGAGGCTCGGGTACAGTCCCGACCTACTCCGCTCCAATTCGTTCCGTTGACTCCCGACTCCCTCCGCAATGTCGAAGCACTTTCGACACATCCTGGCCACATCAGCTGGGCTTCCAGCTCGACCCAGATGTGCTCTCGGCATGCTCTCTTTATGCGGTTTGGCAAATTTATCCTCGAAGTCCTCTGCGCACCCACCATCGGTTCTCGAAGATTCGCATGACCGGCTGTACGGATGATCAACAAGGGATGCATTCAAAAGCACCTTGCCTCACGGACGCGATCTCATATAAAGCACTCGTACGACTGTGCGACATGAAATTCGGTCTAGGCATCGCTCGTCTCATGTATTCCTTCGGCCCTATTCGTTATTGGGCTTGCTTGGATTGCCCCCTGAATTGCGCGATGTCAACACCGGGATTTGGTATCGCTTCTTCACGGATCGCACCCAGCGCCGGTTCCATTGGATGCGAAATCCGGGTTTGAGAGGTGAGAGCTCCCTATCTCTTTGCGGCATTCCCTTCCACAATACAGAGTATACATGACACATATTGTAAGAAAGATACATTCTTACAGACACCACTTGCTTAAATCTGCGCGGCCTCTGGCAGCGTATGTTCGCGGACACCGGGCCAGGAATCAGGATACATATGCCGATAGCCTCCGACCGTGCCTGCACGCGTGCGTGCTTCCAAGCCACCGAACGGGCTATCAAGCTATCGACGTCTTGTCATGTTGTTGCACAGGTACTACCTCTCTCGTGACGGCTTGACACCTTTTGCTGAGGTTGGAAGTAAGCCGCTGCGATGGGCGTCGGTTTACGAGTAGGAGCATCTCAGTCACCTCGAGAGCTCTCCGTGTGTGCATGAGCTCACGACGTCCACCCCAGTCTCCCAATGTATCGTCTCCACAGACCGCTCTCTCTCGTCTCACCGTGCGGAGCGGACTAAGGCACATTTGCAGTCATACCGAGGTCATCCCAAGGCTGAGTGAGAGAAAAGAAGCCTTCAAGCGTCTAAATCGTGGGCGCAAGGGACTAAACACGGCCCACGGTTCCTGATGATACTCTTATGTGATCGATTGTGCTCAAAATTCGCCTTCGCGAAATAAACGGCCTGCACGAAACCCGCTCATGCAGAGTATCTTCCTCTGCTTCGCAAGCCAAAGGTCGTCAGAGTGTACTGAACGCCTGTAGCGCTCTCCTGAGACACTCCAGGCAAGCCATTTGTTGTCCGGCCGCACCATCCGCGCGGCATCCATCAGGCAGTGCGCTGACAGCTCTTCCGAGCAGGCCGCATTCCCATTCATCGTGCCTCGACGTCCGGGGCCTTGCTTCCTGCCCTGTCTCCTGCAGATACGCCCGACTTTCGATCCGTGCCGTCCCCGCAGGTACCTATCAAGTCATGCTCGGCAGGACTCAGACACTGACAACTGTATAATATCGTAGCGTCGTTCAGGGTCTATTGGGTCCCTGTTAGCTTCCGTACTTCTCATCGCGTTCGGTGCCTCTGTCAGGCCGGCAGAAGCATCGTAAGACCCGCTTTATAACAATCGTGCCGTCCCTCTTGGCGACGCGATTGCCCTCGCTTTCCCCGTGTCCCACCAGTATGTTCACCGCGTTTTGGGTTGCGTATGCGTCGTTTCTTCTACCCTCTGCGGTCCGGGCTGCGGCGCAGTACAACATGGTGAAGGAATACGCAGGGGAGTCGTTCTTCGATGACTGGACTTTCTACAATAATGGTGCGTATGAGTTTGTTGTACAACCACCCGACCGTCACGCACTTGCTGACCGACGAGCACGGTTTCAGCGGACAACCTAACCCACGGGAATGTCAAGTATGCTCAGAAGCTCCGTCGTAGTATGCATGTACGAGTTTCTGGCTGACGCTGATGTCCAGCTTTCTGGGGAACAAAGACGCTTTCCACGATAATCTCGCATTCACCAATGACGCTGGCAATGCGGTCATGAAAGTCGACAATACCACCCAGTTAAAGTTCGGTCAGAACCGCAATTCCGTTCGGCTCTCCACGAAGGACCAGTTCACGGTGGGCTCAGTCTGGGTTGCGGACATACTCCACGTACCATACGGGGTTCGTTCGGCTCCACCCTCCCGGCGGGTGCGGATGTGATCAATAACACTCAACGTCCCCCCCTTTCCAGTGTTCAGTTTGGAGCGCCTTCTGGTCTTCTGCCCCAACATGGCCAGTGGGAGGCGAAGTGAGCTATATGGAAGTTCCACCCTCGACATCATTCAACTCATATCATGACTGTATTACTCAGATCGACACGTTCGAAGCCGTCAACCAGGACCCGATGGGTCACATGGGACTGCATACTAACCCAGTACGTCGTTAACCACCTACCAGGCCGCTCTACGCTGTGCCGAGAACTCAAAGAAGATCGATGACGGCAATAGGGATGCACGCATTCGTCCAACGCCGTTCAGTCTAGTACTCTTATCAACTCCACGGATTGTTCAATCGATGCCAACAGCAACCAAGGCTGCATCATAACAAATCCGAGTCCAGCTTCGTACGGCGAAGGTCAGCAGCTCATGACACGGTTCTTGCCCGTTTAGACTAAACGAATGTCTGCCAAGCTTTCGCGAATGCTGGCGGTGGCGTGTATGTCACAGAGTTCGCCATAGACGGCATATCGTAAGCTGCCATCCAAACGCACACTAGTGTATGCTTACTCAGGGCCACTTTGTCCCGCTATCCCAGAATCTGGTTCTTCAACGTATGCATTACAGTTCCCCACGCGATTTAAGCTCACCTGTCATGAGAGCGTAGCGCACGACACTTCCGAGTTCGTTGCAAGGAAACGTGAGCACGATTGACACCGCGACTCTCGGGATACCGGTAGCAAACTGGCCCGCGGACGACTGCGCCGTCAACGAGTTCTTCCAGCCCCAAGAAATCGTCTTCGACATTACGTTATGCGGTGGTGCGTGGCCTATCATTCTGACGCATGCCCACTTGCCGGCGGCTGTGCGCACCCACGGAGGCGCGAAGCGTAGGAAACTGACATCACAACACTTCTCTTCTTGCGTAGACTATGCCGGGGCCGCAAGTGTGTTCTACCAGACGTGCACGGGCGTTTGTTACAACGACTACGTCCTCGGAGATCCATCGTTCTACAACACCGCTTATTTCGAGGTCTCTTACCTGCGAGTTTACGGCGAGCCCGGAGAGTTGACCGTGATCCAGCCCTCAAGCGGCGTTCGATCCGTGGGGCTAGGGCGGTTCGCGACTCCTGCTCTGGTCTTGGGAAGCCTACTCGCGCTTGTCTGGGCTCTGTGAGGTCTAACACAGTGACATCGCATCTGCGGTTCTTTATTTCACCTCCCGTTTCCATACTTCGTATATCATACAGCACGACCCCAGACTACATGCTTGCGGCGGACATGAACGCGGTATCTATATCACTCTAGAGTCGAGGTGTTATACCACTAGCTAGACAGGCCGCGGACATTCTCCACTTGTTCTCCACCGGTCTACACTTTCAGAACGCAACATTCATATTGTCGTTCAGTACGTACCGCATTGGACCCGAGCCACGTCTGTGGCAAAGTGTATCATCAAGCCTGACTTCCTTTCCTCCGATGTCCCGGCATTTTCTTTCACGCGACCACGCATCGTGCCGTCACCGGCTCGTCGGTTTGGGCGATTCGCTGTCGCGCAAAGGCAAGTTGTGCAAAGATACCCGCTTGCAGTGCTGCTACCACCATTTCCTGCTCGTGTTCTCCCACCATATCGCGTGTCTGATGGCAGCCCGCGGCACTGGCGTGTACGGTCAAGATCGCCTCTGGTAAATCGCGCGCTGGTGCCGAGCGCGCTGCCTTTTCCGCGCGTCTTCTCCGTCGCCCCTAGGCTTCTTTCCGCCTTCATGCCCTCCCCTCGGGACAGAGTTTGCGATCCAGCATGCCATGAGGTCAGCACGGTTTGCACGGAGACTAGCGTTTCGGGCTCGCGATTCTGGCTTGGTAGGAGAAAATTCGACCCCGGCGTTCCGATCAAGCCCAGCTGGCCGCCCAGCGGTGCTCTCAGCCGTGCTCCGTGTCATCCGTTCCAAGCCAAATGAGGCTGGCATGCATGCAGCAAGTCTGGGATCATTCAGGAATCACCGCAACTCTAGCGGTCGTGGGCCGTAAGCGAGCTCCTACTTAGAGTCCCCCGTTCAAGCAAGGGACGCAACCGCACCTTTCGCCGACGTCCCCCCCACCAGACAGCACTCCTGCAATGCCGATCGCCACCATGGCTGTTAGCAGCAGCTCGACCTTCAATAACCAGTCGAGGAATGGCAATGTTTTGTCGGATACCCAACACCTGTTCAGCGTCGAGGGTCTCGTCGCTGTCGTAACGGGCGGCGGCACAGGTGAGTACCTGACGACTATCAGCGGTTGGTACGTCAGGGGGATCACGCTCACACAATATCTCACACAGGTATTGGACTTATGATCGCAAAAGCTCTTGAACACAACGGGGCAATCGTATACATCGTCTCACGACGCTTAGATGTCCTTGAGGCTGCTGCAAACGAACACAACGTACGCAGATCCGCGCCCGCCCGCCTACTATATGGAGTAACGAACTAAACCGGACCGACTTCAGCGCCGACGTAATCTCATCCCGCTGCAAGGCGACGTGACGGACCGCGAGTCGATGCGGGCGGTCGCACAGACAATCCGTGAGCGACACGGGTTCATCAACCTTCTCGTGAACAATGCTGGTCTAGCCAGAAATTTCTTGCCGAAGCTTCCCGGGCCAGGCGAGGTCGATATGAAGAAGTACCAAGAGCTGCTCTGGAACGCTGGCACACCTCAAGACTTCGCAGACTCGTTCGACGTCAATGTGTCCGCTGTATGGTACAACACCGTCTGCTTCCTCGACCTCCTCGATGCGGGTAACAAGCGCGGAAACATGCCCGGTGTCACCAGCCAGATCCTCACAGTCTCAAGCGGCGGAGCCTTCCGCAAGGACGACAAAGTGTTTAGCGTGTCCTATACCCTCAGCAAGTCCGCAGCGACACACTTGGGCAAGATGCTCGCGTACTTCCTCAAGGACTGGCAAATCCGAAGCAACGTCATCGCGCCAGGCATCTTTCCTTCTGGTACGCCGCTTCCTTTGGGCGCTGATCGTGGCCCTAATTGACGCATGTCACCGCAGAAATGGTCGACGGCCTCATCTCCGATGAATACGTCAGAGCCGGCGTGCCGCTGCACCGCGCTGGCACGACGGACGACATGGGCGGTCTCATACTGTTCCTGACAAGTCGAGTGCGTGCCTTGTGTCGGATGTAGATCGCGCTCGAGAACTGACTGATTCCTGCAGGCTGGTGCCTATCTAAATGGAACTGTACAGTTAATTGATGGCGGCCGCCTCCTCCTCTATCCGTCCAGCTACTGATCCCGGCGCGGTCAGATGCGCCTGGGGCGCACATGGGATATCTTGGATCTCACTATACTATACTGAGCATTAGGCGCAGATGTACGTCGACGTTACGGAACACACTTGTATCACTATCACGCTACACTGGATTAATCGTCTGAGCCATGCGTTTCCTCATCTCAGTGCTCCACCTTCGAGTGGGTGTACGTCGCCTCTAGTCTCGACTTGACATATTCCCCAGCTGTGACCACTTCATACTGGGGGGGATAGTCTTCGGATACACAACTTGGTAAAGCCTTTTATAGGGTGAGTCGATGCAAGCGACATTTTGATCATAGGGCCCACCTCAAGCTTGACGTCGTAATCCGTCCCGAAGAACAGGGGTATGGAAAATCTCTCGACGCCGGAGCGGTTGATGGCCCGATGAACCGTCGACCTGAACACATCATCTGGAAGATCAGGTGGATGAGATCATAACGAAGCGATGATACGGCTCAGAGAGTTTACTGGTCCATCTTGCAAACTGGTCACCCAAGCTATATAAGGGAGTTAGACCCCGCGCTAGCAGATCCAAGCGGGTGGGGTGTACTTCACGACAAGCGTTCCAGGGATGGGAATAGCATTTACCCATTTCCCGTTCGCATTCAGTACTTGGAGCGCTTGAACGTCGTCTTGTTGCCACAATATCGTGAAACACTGGTTCCGATATCAGCACCACTGAGCGGCTCGATAGAATTTCAAGACGTACCTCGTAGCTGTGACCGTATGTCCGCGGAGTCAGTGACCTTCTATATCCACGTCCGTCGTGCTTACTCAGTGTGAGCGCCGATACCTTGAAGCCTATCGTCGACAGGGCCGGTCTGAGGCGGGTAGTACAGCAACCGCATGATCGCAGCTGGCTTGGTCGTCTGTGGGCTCAAACGATCGGCTATTGCGTGGGTGAAAGGAAGAATGAATGGCGACCTTATCGTCGAAGAATGTTTCTGGTAAGTCGAGGGCGAGGGCGAATAGGGGGAAGAGCGATTGTCCCAATCGCACAGCCGAATGGCTGCATGAGACTTAGTCTTGTAGAAGCCGAGATTTTTCGGGACACCAGCACTCACTAGTATTCGAGTGCTGCTTCTCTGAATCCAGGCATGTCTGCTGGCCATACGTTCTCGCCAGTCATGAGTCCATCATCGGTACGGGAAGTCCCTGTGAGCTCTTCCCATCCGATATCGAACCCCTCATGAAGATCACCGCGATTCTCTGGGTTCGTGTTTTCCCCTAGCAGAGCCGTATAACCCTTGAAGTTCGGGCTCTTGTGAATGTCCAGTGCCGTCTTTCTAGACTGTGGCAAAGCAAAAAATCGCTTAGCCGCGTCGACTGCCTTGGATATGGTATCTTCTGGTATCCCATGGTTCTTAACTATTGGGTATTCGCCGCAGAACATATCAGCAGCTGTCCACCATGTGCTTTTGCCAAGGAACCGGAGGCATACCGTAAAAGAAGCCCACATTGATGCAAGCATCTCGTATCTGGTCAGCCAGCGCTCTCCGCACAACTGGATCATCGTTCCTGGCGTCCTCTAGGTTGCTATTGGAAGTAAAGTGCTGTCAGTTGCAATGAACCAACTTCACGTGTGATAGCGTTAGGGGGCGTGTGCGTTCGAACTTATGAGATAGTACATCACATTATCGGGATGTCTTCGAATGTGCTAGCCGTACGAAAGCCAGCCAACACAAGCGACCTAGGTTTTGCGTTTGATGATATATCCATGACCGGGCTGAGAGAAAGCAATTTAGCGAGTATTGGTGAGGATCAAGCTGGTTAAATGACAATTATGACATCTACAGTGGAGGCCTGCAGTACTTGGCAGCGCCACCATAGCAAGGGGGGACTGCGATCAATTAAAACCCAACCCTACACTGTGATTAGCGCCCGACTCGCGGGCCGGAGGATGAGAAGTTGAGAACGACACCACATGCAGTGGGCACGACAAGCCAGTAACTACTTTCATGAAGGTTGACAGTAAGTTTGCCGGATAGCTCACACAACCTTCTCAACTGATGAGTCTGAATCGCTGTCGCCCATTTTCAACGCAACGGGAGTATCAGAAGGCTGCATGTGCCAAGGTATCAAGACGTGACCTGCCGCCTCAAACCTCCAGGACGACCATGTTTGACTTTGTCAGTTCATGGGATGACGTGCTGGAGCGGATTGCTCAGCAGCTCGCTGAGTCTTCATAAACTCGTTTCTATAGTTGGAGAATAGTTCAGGTGAACTGCCTCGCAGGGTCCGTCTAGTACCCACGCTTAGTAACCGTCCCACTATAAAACCTGTGTGGGGACTGTACGTGAGTCAGCTCTCCAACCCCCTTCAATTGATTATCAACATGTCTCTGTGTGCACACTGCGTTTCAGGTAAGGAAGGCCCCTGTTCGATTGGCATCCGCAGGACCGTTTGACACCCAACAACAGGTGTCCGCCATGAGGGTACGCCTGAAGGTATGCTGCATAGGTCAGCCATACGCACTGCTATACTTAGACTTTGATCATGGCACAGGTCAGATTCAGACTATCGGCGGTGTCGAGGTCTACGTTGCGACTCCGACAATCGACTACCCGAAAGATAAAGCAATTCTCTTTCTAACTGACGTGTTTGGCCTGCCCTTGCCCAACAACAAGGTTTGCGTCGTATAGTCCATCGGGGTCAAGCACAAACTCTGTCTCTGATGCTCCCTGATTCAGTTGTTGGCCGACGACTATGCTCGCAACGGCTTCAAAGTCTATGCTCCAGACCTCTTCGGCGATGACGCCGTCCCCCCTGATGCTCTCAACCCCGGTAGCAGCTTCGATTTAATGGGCTGGCTCGGAAAACACTCAGTGGATAGCAAGCTGCCCATCATTCGCCAGCTGATCGCTGCCCTCAAGACTCAGGGTATCACCAAGTTTGCGGCCATCGGATTCTGCTACGGCGGGCGTCCGGCATTCGAACTCGCGTTCACCAACGAGATCGACGTCGTCGCTGTCTCCCACCCATCCCTCCTGCAGATCCCGCAGGATCTTGAGGTAAGCATTGAGCGAATTGCGTATGTAGTACCGCGGCCACCGACAGCCACAATCACCCCTCGCAGAAATACGCCGCACAGTCGAAGGCTCCACTCCTCATCAACGCCTGCGAGTTTGACCCCCAGTTCCCTCGGGGTGCTGGACAGAAGGCTGATGAACTTTTCGGCGGCGGCAAGTTCGCTCCCGGATATGAGCACACATACTGGGAAGGCTGCACTCACGGCTTTGCTGTCCGCGGCGACCTCGTACGTCCGATTCATGATCCACGATCGCCAAGCATCTACACTGACGGATTTCCACAGAGCGATCCGAAGGTCAAAGCCGGCAGGGAGGGCGCGTTTAAGGCGACTGTGGAGTTCCTTATGAAATACCTATGAAGGGCATATGAACTCCTGAGGATAATACCGCATGACGTACTAGAAGGAGTGGAAGTTTCCTATAAATGTATGACAGCACGGCGAGAAAGTTGCGGCGTGGGTGGATGTTGACCCATACTCGCACAGTCGTATATATAAAGTCCAGCGGAAGCTAACTGACTCCCTGTTTTCAGTATCTATCAGAGAAGCTACTAGTCGACATGCGACGACCCTAGCGACAACAGTATCCCGGCGCTCAGTTAGTTGGTATGTATGAGAGAAAAGGTCGTCTCGTTTTCGGTCCACGGTACCCAGACCAAACCTCCACCCGCGGCGGTGCAAATGAGAGGAAGAACTGTCCGCAGCCCGCACATTCGCCCATATCCATCCTCGCCCAGTACAGTCACGTCTTCGACTACCGTCCCAATCAATGACTCAATCTCTTTCCGTAAAGCAGAGGCCGGCCCGCCATCTTCCGGTCCCACGCATCCTACCAGCAGATGCTTGACCTTGCATCCTGTCTCCACTCGCCGGCGAAGCATGTCCGCAAGCTCTCCCACCGCGAGGCCGTAATCGTCGTCAACGAAGACGTAAAGAGTGTCCAGGTTCGGGAATAGGAGCTGCGCTGAGTCGGGCAGAGACATTGGATCACCGAGGGACTTGACGAACTCCTCCTGGTCCCCCATTAGACCGGCCGCGACGTATAGCTTCTTGACACCGCTGAAAGCGCGGAGTGAACTGGTCGTCCTGGTTTGGCATGCGGAATCGATACCCAAGCCCGAAAGCCAAAGAGCTCCAGCCGCGGCGAAAGGAGGCGTCGTAAGGAAGGCATAGATGGCGTCTGCAAGCTCGTCGCTTGGATCGACGCCCTGTACCGTTGGAATATCCACGCGTATGCCACCTCCAGATGACGGGAAGGTAGCTTGGAGAGAGGACAAGGTGTATGGGGATGCGCCCAGCAGAAAATGAACATTGGAGACGGGAACGTCCCATAGGCGGGTTCTCAGATGCGAGGTGAGCTCTGCAAGCTGCTCAACCGAGCCGACGTCAAGGCGGAGATAGCATGTCTGGGGGATGATGAGATGCGAGAAAAGAAGGAGTGGGAGTCCTGGCCTTCCTGGCGTGCGATAATCCCATGCACGAATGGATAGCTTCCGCAAGTTGCCAAGACGAGCTGTAGATAGCCGGCCGCCGCTGACGCTGTCATACGGAATACCGCAGATGATGAGTTCCTCCAGAGTAGGGGAATCGGATAGGAAGTGCATTAGGTCATGGAGGGACCATGTGTCACGCATCTCGCGCTTCATTTGGTAGAATAGGACGAGATGCGTGAGAGTCGGGAGAGGGTTGAGCGGTAGGAAAGGCGAGTCGATTATTGCCAGAGACCTCAGAGGAGGGGTTTGTTCCGCAAAGAGCGACTGAAGGCCTTGCCACTCCCAGCTGGTAGCTCCAGCGTTGCCAAAGTGCAAACTCCGAACCACAAGTTTCCGGAGGGCACGCATGCGAGGCGATGACAAAGAAGTAGGTAGGGAACCGTGCTTCCTCCATCCATCTAAGGTGAGGACATGAAGCTCCTCCACGCGGTCCTCGAAGTCTAGGGGTGCGTCGACGTCTCTGAGCTTCTGCCAGTTGACTCCGGTAAGACCATCTTCTTCGGCATACAAGTGAATCGGCCCTGCTACGCAACGATAGAGATGATGGCAGGCATTATTCGGTATGTCACCACACCTGGAGCCCCAGTGCGGGACACGAAAGGCACTCGACCACAAGTCGGAAACATTCAGGGCCAACGATCGCCACTTGTAACAGACTTGGGTGATCGCGCGCAGCTCCCAGACTTTCCGGATGCCGAATGGACCGCATACTCCTTCGATGGTATCGAAGACTGTGAGCTCCGGAGGCGGCGGGATGAAGGCGAAAATTCTGAGGAGGATTTCCGGCGGTAAGGTGTTAACCGGCCTTCGAGAATTCGACGCCCGTCGTACAGAGGCAAGGATACGAGGAAGAAGCCTACACGATGACTCGATCTAGAGAACTGATGTTGAGCACCAGTAACGTGTATAGGTGATGAGAGACATACGTCTCTAGCGCTATAAACAATGGTTAGTACCCCTCATGCACCAATTGCGACAGCGCTGTCAGAGATGACATGCCTGAGTCTCAGGAACTCCTCATCGCTGCCATTTTGGAGGGTCTTATTTGCGAGGCTTTCAACCAGCTCCACAATCGTCGGGTGGGACTGCGCCATCTCGAATATCTGGGTATTCCATAGTTAAGGGACACAGTGAGACAACCAATCGCAGGAACAGCGCACCGTATGTCAGAGAACAATTTATGGCAGCGTGTGCTGAGAAGGAACGTGTACCATGAGGGCTTTCAGGTCAGTTGCTGAGCATGACGGATCCAGATAAGGCCGATTTAGCCGGTACTCGGAGGGGACAACTAGTAATACTGTAGGCCTACTAAACCAATCCCGACTTCAGGAGTGGTAGTACCGAGGTGTGACGCGCGAGTCCTCGAGTGCAGTGCCAGCCTCGCCACTAAGATGTAGTTGGCATTGGCAAGGCAGACGACGATTACCGAGCGCGACGGAGTTCCGAGGGATCGGGGCGCCTGTGCCAGCTTCCAAAGACGCGCGCCGTAAAGCGCGACTATCGCAAGATCACATATGCATTAGCTATCCACCTACTGCCTCAGGTGCCCACAGCGCCCGGAAACATGCCAGGTTGTTACCAGTATGAGAACGGTTCGGCAGATTGATACACCGTGATGCTCGTATAGTTGACAAATGTCCATCGTTGGCCATCGCAAAGAAAACCCACACCGTCGAACCCGACTTCTAACTAAGGATCGTAAAGCGAGCGAGACAGGCGTCACAATGTAAGGAAACGTCAGATCAAAAAGCAGCAGACACTGCAGTCAACAATGGATGCCCGACTCCATTGTCAGCCCCACTGAACTCCGAAGGAGGCGTTTCTATCCTCCGTCCACGGTGCCCACAGCAGTCGCAGATGATAATCAGGCTCCACGCATACAGCACCGGACAATGCCCTCGATAACGAATGCTTCTTGTGGTATTGCCGCTCCGACGTCAGGAAGCGCAGCTCTTCGACATAGGGTTCGAGAGCGCCACGCATCGTCTGTATTGGATCCTCGGCACTCCCGAAATCGGGGACATAGTCGGGGTCAAATTCGACCAGGAGACGACGGATGCCGCAGCGGGCCTCTCTGCGGGAACGCAGGACGGCGCTGACCTTATCCAGACCGGACTGATCGTATATGGTCAGGTACAATGTATCCAGCTGGGGAAGTGGGATGTGGGGCGGCGTGCGGTTCGGCAAGGCGGATCCCAAGGACTCGGTGAGCCCCTCACGAGCAGTCCAACCGGAGTCGCATAGGTACAACTCGCGGACGTTCGGCAAGGATAAGAGCGATCCAACAAAACCAGCTTGCCTGGCGTGCTCGGTCGCCTGGCCGGAAATCCACGCTACTTGCGTTCCGTACATCAGTGGAGGCGACAGCATGAAAGCTCGGATGGCCTCCTTGAGATCCAGCCAGCTTGCATCATGGCCGAAGCGAACGCCTTCTGGGAGTGAGATTACGATACGAAGCCCTCCAATAGGCTGGTCTTCCAAGGAATAGGATGTGATTTGAATAGCCCACCCGTCCGGCTGGCAAAGGAGTAGCATTTTGAGCTTGAGCTCGGCCTGGGTCCATTCCAAACCAGTGGTGAGGTATGCGGAGAGGAATTGGAGGTGATACGGCTTACTAGCATCCATTCGGATGTAGCAGGTCCTGGGGAAGGTGAGATGCGATAAGAGTGAAGGCGAAATATCGCCGCTGCGGGAACTGCTATCGGAGTAATCCCAAGCTCGCAAGGAGATGCGTTGCAGGCGCCCGAGCTGCACGTGAGGAAGTCGTCCAGCGTCGACGTGCGATACGGAATCTTCGGGGATACCGTGTATGAAGGCTTCCTGCAGTAGGGGAACCCCAGATAAGAATGTGAGGAAGTCACGGAGAGACCATCCCGCGACCACTCCCCGATCCAAATCCCATCTGTCGTAGAATATACGAAGGCGGGTAAGCTGGGAGACACGATTAGCGGGTAAGAACGGAATGTGGCTCAGCGACAGAGTGCGGAGTGGCAGGTCGCTCCCACCGAAGAGAGGGTACATGCCCTTCCACCTCGTCCTAGATTCCGCATGTGGGAGATAACAGCGAAGGACGAGTCTTGTGATCGCGTTCATCGGGAGCAACAGACAGGGCGGATCGTCGCCCTCCCAGTCGAGAGGAATGTCGGCGCATAACTCGCAGATACGAGGCGCATACTGCGTTAAGAGCTCCCGACCATGGTGTTCTGCCTGACTCCATGTGTGGCGTTGGCGCCACAACTGCTCTTCCTTTATGTACACGTGCAACGAAGCAGGATTGAAACGAGCGAGATGTGAAATCATTGTCGACGTCGTAGAGCCTCGATTGCCTCTTCGGGGCGGTGTGAGGAATGCGCTTGACCACAGCGTAGAGTCGGAAGTGATCAGGTCGCGCCACTGCCGGCAGACCTGTGAAACGGGAAGGATGTCCCATACCGTCCTGATGCGAATCGGGCTACAGATACTGAGATCTGGGTCCTGCTTGGTGAAGATATCAGGGAGTCGGGGAACAAAGGAGAAGACCAGCCTGAGGATCTCGTCAGGAAGGGTGTTGATCCGGATGCGTGAATTCAAAATGTAGTGAAGGGAGATGTGGATGCCGGAAAGCAGGTTGCAAGCAGCCTTGATCTGCGCAAACATCGATGAACTCGCAGGCGACCTATGAACAACACTGGACTCACATCCGCGGTGCTGAGTGGGGAGATTCGTAAGCGTTGGTTATGATGCACATAAAACACATACCTCATACTCCAGATCTCTCTCAACCGTGGCGGCCCACTCACCTTGTCGGCTAGAAGCTCCACGAGCTCCAAAACCGTTAGGTCAGAACCAACAGATGTGTTGACCGACATTTCTCTGTCGATGTGCAGTCTAATTGGGATCAGCCAAGCTACAAGGAGGGATTCTGTGCTACATACGGAACAAGGTGGACGAGTAGGACCAAGGTTGGATTGATGCCCGTGCTTCACACCACCGAACCCACGTGCCAAGCAGGGAATAGATCTATGTCGATCGTAGCGCACACCAACTGGCCAGCCCTAAGCTCTACCTTCCGGCCTTAGCCTGACGGGGAACACGTGCCAGCACTGGTCGCGTGCACTTAACATCTACTTTCTCTTCTGAGACTCTCCTACCAACGACTTGTCTACTGGCATTGAGCGGCGGGTCACGCCAGAATTACGTGCAATTCTATTAGCATAATATGATAATACGTCTAGTAGACAAGCCTTCAAGTGGTCCCGTCAGTTGTCAAAACACACCGCGAAGGACGATGCAATATATACTCACCTCATGATTTCGAGAATGGAATCTGGAAACCCGAAAGCAGCGCCCTCGCGCGGTTTTGTGCCCCAACGCCCTTTGCATTCGTGATGAAATGGATGTGCATACCGAATGTGGAAGGGTACGCGTCGAAATTCACCTCAATCTGAGGGAACAGCCCGAGAGCAGTGGGAGGCAAGCCGAACGACACCACACCGGACGCTGCGTTCGGCTTGTCCAGACGCGACGACGGCCCCTCCAGGGGGATGCCTTGGAAGTCACGCAATCGGGGAAGCACAAACTCCACGAGCACGCTGAGGAAGTCCCACATCTGCGGTCCCTTCAAGTCGACCTTGACACCGACCGGTAGCCCAGGCCGCACCCAGCCCTGCAAGTTCTTCCGACCCTTCACCAGCTGCACACCTTCAGCCGTATGCTGACCGCCACCCTGCTCCGTCGCTCCAGAGATCGCGCGAAAGGCCATGATAGGTCCAAGGAGGTTCGTACGGCTGGCCACCGCCGACTTTATTTGGGTATGGATCTGGATACGCTCAAGTTGGATGATGTTGTCCGGAGCAGAGGGAGGGGGCGGCTGTTTCGCCCATCGGTTTCCGCCGAGTGGAGGGTTGTGCCTGTGTTTTGTGTATGGGTCGTTCGGATCGTACGTCAAACGGACAGGGCGAGGCGGCTTGCGCGGGATCGGCTCGTGCACATAGGTCATGTACATGAGGTCCTCTTGTAAGGTGTCGTGGTAGTGGTCCGCAAGACGGCTCCGGTGTGTGTCGCGAACGATCACGTTGACATGGGGGATAGGAAGACCTTTCTCGTCGCGTTTCAGCGGTGGACGTTGGGGTGCTGGCCGTGTCCGACGCACAGTACGCCCAGCCGTCGTCACAGCGCGTGTCGTTCGCGTTGCCACCTGTGCGCTCATCTGATTTTTCTGAATGTCAAGTTCTCGCGCGGTGCACGGATGCAGCAAAACGACGGACGCACCTCGCAAGACCGGAAAGTGGTGGCAGACGCAAAGGGAGCTAGCGCCTAGAGGCCCCGCTCGTGGTGACACGAGCACATACCAGGACCCCGACCACTTCCATCGTGGTCCTCTCGGATTTCTACTCATCCGAAGCATTCACGGTTCCTCCAAGCCAAACCACATCGAACGAGCTAATGACCTCCGTATTCCCTACAGAATATACGATCAGATTATTCCCCCCGTTGCGTAGTCACAAACCCCCGGTGAAACTGCGCACTTGTCTGTTGGGCCTGGGTATCACGGAGGCAGCAGCCCTGGCACTTTCAAACGCATCCCTTCCTGGGCTGCGCCCGCTGGTTTTCAGTATCAAAAGAGCCAATTGGGACCAGCTATGGCATGATCTCGAGGCCGACGCGGGAGACGTTCTCCACTTCCGGCTGGATTCCGCCTTGTCATAGTCTCGACTCCGATTTTCAGCACGTTGTACTCAGTATCGGCAGGAGTCCTTGGGATCTGCAGCCAGGACATTGGCTCTCGCAGCTCAAGACTACGTCTCCCGTTTGCAGTCAGACCAACGAGATACGCCTTACAATTACAGCAATTCAAGTCAAAGCGAGTTGTTCAGCAACGCTTTAAGAGATGAATGGTTCACTGCAGTGAAGACACGTGCATTCAATCGTCGCTGGTTTTAAATCGTCCCCCTCCCATCCTAAAACACGTCGTATACTACCTGCCCACCGGAAATGCGCACGTCGCGGAGGGCCCTGCAGCTCGACATAGACTCTATGTTATAAGCAATCAATGGATCGATTGGGAATTACTCGCCTGCGAGCGAGTTGATATTCCTGCTCCTTTGTATCTGGGGCCTTGTCCCGAAGCTGACAGGTTTGAGAAGGCTCTAGTCATGGGTTATCTAACCATTGGATTCAAGATGATATTGTCTCTAGTTCCTTGCTCTATTGACACTAACACCAGGTCTATATGATCTTCATGAGGCTGAAACTCGGTCGCATTCATTCCCACTAAGTGGCAAGTCCATGGTCTGATTAGTCGGACAAGGGCAGAGACAGTTGACACACATATCCCGCTGTCGTTTCTGATTTTGACACCCTTTCTTACGATTGTGCACAGCAGCACTCCGGCCCATGTTTGCTAAAGAAGTTTCCATAGTGAGCGAATTACATGTACAACTAGTAAGTCACCTAGTATGACATGCTAGTGAATCCTGCTCATTGATGTGTCTTATTCCTTCGTCAACAGATGGCCCCTATACACAACAGGCCCGCCGACGACCCTTCGAAGCTGCGCGAGACAGGGGGCGCTAGTTTCACCACAATGAGTCGAAGGAATAAGTTCTCCATCCTTCACATCATCTTCCTGCTGCCATCGCCTCCGCCTCCTCGTCTCGAACTCCCAGAACTCAAGCGTATGCAACTCGGGTGCCCCATTCAACGCACGCTCCTCGAACACGGGCTGCATCATCGAACATCTCCATCGGACGCGTTCTTCAACATCCCACGAGCGGTATGTCGCCGCATCGCATCCTTCTGGGAGGTTCGTCGGCTCGTTCGGGTCACCCCTCGGGGATGTGATTTTCCAGCTGAGAGCTATGTTTGTCAAGCTCGCGCAAGAGAGACGTGCGACGCTAGGATCGGAAGATGTGGTGCATCGAGCGAGTGCCGGGAGGACGAGGTTAGGGCCGTCTGTCCCACAAACGGTGAGGTGGGTCAGATGGGGAAATGCCCGTAGAGCAACGACCCAGTCGTCAATGCCACTTCTGTCGGCGTTCAACACTCCGACCTCCCATGCGTCGAGCACCTCCAGGTGGGTGACATGCATCCCCTGGAAGTATTCCTCCAGGCCAAGATTGCCGAGAGATCCCCGGTAATCGAAGCCCAAAACCCAGAGTGGTTGAGAGTGGTCTGAAAAGCACTCCAATCGACATGAACTGGATTCGTTTATGCGGAGGATAACGCGGTCGAACGAGTATCTTTGAAAGACATGATGCGGTAGGAAGTCAGAGAGGCCCCTTGTATCTTCTGCGCTCACATGAATCAACGCAGTTGAAGGAACAGACAGAGCACTGAGCGCCCCCAGGACTGCCAAGCTCTTTGTGTCGAAAATCTCGAGCTTCGTCAACGAAGGAAGGTGTATAGCACATGCTTCATGCAGCACGGGCCAATCATACGGGGCCACGTAATCGCCGAAATGCAACGTCTCAAGATCGGGACACTTGCGCAACGCCTGTAGCAGAACCTGGGACTCCAGCGGCTGGATGCTTGAACGGCAGCCGGACAAGCTGACGTTTCGTAGCGACCTAACCGCAAAATGAGGAAACAGTTCGCCAGGGCTGACCGATAGCTCGCGCAGGTGGGGAAGGCTGTTTTTAGGTAGGCGGGTGAAGCTGAGTGGCGTGAGCGGTCCACCGCCCATGGGTGCCACGATACGGAGCTTCTCTAGTGCCGGCATGCTCCTCCCCAACAGCTGGGGCAAATCCGGCAACAGCATGGCGTTCCCGGAGAACGACAGAGAACTGATTCGCCATGCATGGATAGACAGCTCGACGGGTAGGATGGAAACGAGCACGGTAGCGTTCGTGGAATATTGGTCGACCTCCGAATGGATGAAACATGGGGAGGACCTTTCCAGGAAGGCACTCACAAGCTCAGAGGGCAATGTCGATGATGAGGTGCCCCTGCTTCTGACCATCACGGTCTCGGTATAATTGAAGGAAAGGCCTGAGACCGCAGCCGCCCAGAACTGAGACGTGAGTCGGTATGTGGAGTGCCATCGCCGGCAGACAGATGTCAGACGGACGCTCCGTCGGTCCTGCCACGTTTGACCGAAGATTTTCACCAGCAGCTCGGTGGGGAGTGTGTGGATCGGCGCGGCGGCGTTGTAGAGGGAGAGCATAGTGTAGGAGAGGAGACGATACTCCTCCGACTTCCACAGTGTCCAGGCTCGGATCTCGTCGCTGCTGAGCCCATCGAGACTATCTGCAGCTGGGACCGGAGATGCGTACTCGGGAAATGGAGGCATATCGTAATGGTTGTGGTTCATCTGTTGCGTAGCTGCCTATACCATGAGATCAGTACTATTGTGAGCATACTCATCTGGTCGCCGAACATACCGACTAGCACTATCGCGATGACCCAAATGAACAAGCCTTGGAATTGTGAGGTCGTGGCCTTACCAGTCAATCCGCAATCGTAAGCAATCGCAAGCAATCGAAGCGACCGCCCGCGGCGCGGCAATCTTCCCGTGATTGCTAGTCACTTCAACTGGCCGGGTCTACGGGCCTAATCAGTATGAGAGAGTCCCTCCGGGCATCTCGTGACAACTGATGAAGCGGGAGAACTGCTCCGCTTGGGTGCTTCAGCTTTCGCTAGTGCTATTACATCACGAATACAGATGCATTTGACATTATTTTCTGTTGGAAGAATTGTGAGCACTGAAAACTGAACATCAGGGTGTTTTCCAGCTGATGTAAAAACCAGCGTCGCGTTTCCCCCAGGCCTCCCTGTGCTCGGATCAGCGGCGGCCTCCTGCCGAGCCCCGCAAGCAAGCGCTCCGGCCACCTCCCAGTCGGGGGACAAGCTCGTCGTGACTGCGGGAAGTGTGCCCCGCCTCATGCTACGTGGCTTTCAGAGCTACAGGACACACAATATTCTGCGTGGAATGCTTCCCGCGAAGATCCCCGCTGTGTGCAGGTGCTTCCAGCAGTGCACTAGTCTCGTGACCAGACGTTCGGAGCTCCAAGCGGGAACGAAAAATCGGAGGTTCCCGAGCACCTTAACGTCTGGTGGCTTTACCCCCGTGACTCCCCGCTCGGTGACCTATGTGACCTCCCTGCCCTCTCTCCGGGAGTCCGAGCTGTCCTTGCCTGCGCGCCTGCATGCTTATCTCCCGCCATCTTTGAGCTGCGCTGAGCCTACTCTGCACTATCTATGATATCTGCAAGCAGTCAATCCCCCTGTAATCCTCTGTCTCTGTTATAGGCAATACACTGTGACTTCTCTTTGTGTGCGCAACCCGATAACATAATGCATCTGAATTCAGGAGTGCGATGCACCTATCGCTGTGTCCACCGATGCCAGTCACCTTGGGCTTGTACCCCTTCGAGGTTTCCTTCTCTTCTATGGGAGTATCATCGCTCAGATCCACACTCTGTCCAGCACCAGAGTAATATCACCAGCGGTGGTCGAACTCCTGTCAATTCCATCACAGGTTGTAGCGGGTAATTTGTGACTTCGAGAGGAGCGGACATCATGGGAAGAGGCATCGTCAGCAATGATATCATGCATCTCTCGCAGGGTGCTCTACAATACGTGTGGACGAGTGCG